GCGCCCCACCGCAATCTGCCGCCACGGCCGCGCGCCACCTCTCCCACGCCCGCCCGCCGGCCCCTGCGCGCGCGACGACTGGACAAAAGGGACGGTTGGTGTTTGTTTCAACGGTCCCTGGGGCACGTGCCTCCGCCAGGTGCGGACTTGGGGGAGCGGGAGCTGGGGGGATCTAAGGGAAAACGCCTCGCTGGGGGTGACTGGGAGGAGATGCGCTGGCGGAGAGGAGTGAGCCCGAAGTCCGACCGAAAGCCTCATCCGTGTGATGAGAAATAAAATGAAGGGGAGAGCTCGGAATATCTACTTTGGAGTGGAGTGACGAAGTTAGCCGTGCAGGGGAAAAAAAGGGAAGAAAATCATCGTCTCCTGAACGAGTAAACTCTGAGCGTTTCTGCTTCCAGAGTATGTAACTCAGAATAGAGTGTACGGATAAATGAATGAATTCGTTACAATTCAGACTATCAGCAGGGCTTTAGAAACTTAACTTGCAAAGGTTCTAGCAATGTTAAAAGCCTCAGTCAGAGGAGTAATAAAGTAGCATGTCGTCTCTGATTACATGGCTTATTACTTATTTTTTTCAATTATAAGTAGTACATGTATAGGCATATTTTCTATAACTGCTGGATTTCTACATCCACGCCCCATTAGTGAAGATGGAGGGTAAAGTCGGCCCAGCTCAAAGCATGAAAATCACAAGGTCACCGCCAACCCCTTATTTCCTTTAGTGTGTTCTTTTTCTTTCTCTTGGAGTGGCTCTTTGCACAGGTACTACCCAAATAAGGTAATTCCCTACAATTTTAAGGCAATGTAAGGGAAATTGAAATTAGTACAAATCTGTATTTAAAAATGGATGTGATCAGGCATATTAAGATACTCCCCAAAGAAAAGCTGACTCATGAATGCTCCAAACTTGGAAGTCTATCTTTTCTCTAGATATCTCTGATATCTTACCAGCACTTCAGATGCAACATAATCCAAAACAGAACTGAGAATCTTTCCTTTTTCCCCGTCTCCTCAAAGTATCTATTCCTCCAGTGTATGCCCTGTTTCCAATACTTCTATTTTGCTGGTGGAACAAAGTCAGACTTCTTTAACTTTCTCCCTTTCACATATGCCCAAATCCAGTTCTCAAAGACAGTCATTTTCACCTCTGCAATGTTAATTACATCTGCCCTCAGCTTTCCACTACCTTCGCTCAGACCTTCATAAGCACCTC